GGTGGAGAGGTTGTATGTGCAGGCTAATGACCTAAAAGGCCCTATTCCTTTGACTGTCTTCAACATGTCCTCTTTGACAATTTTGGCTCTAAACAGAAACAACTTAAGTGGTAGTTTTCCAGACAATATATGCCAACATCTTCCAAGTATCCAGGTTTTAAATTTGGCTTACAACGAGTTTGATGGTCCACTTCCACACAAGTTATGGCAGTGCAAAGAGCTCCTTAGTTTGGTATTGGACTATAATAATTTCAGTGGAAGCATACCAAGAAGTATTGGAAACTTGACCCAGTTAACACGGCTTGGTTTTGGCAACAACACCTTAACGGGTACTTAATTGCCAAGTCCATTTATCTTAATTAGAGCAATTTATTTCCTTGTTCCAGTCATGATCAGTTATTTTTCAATGATAGGGGTGGGGTGCTATTTTCAATTGTGAATGGTTCGAAACACTCAAATACAATAATTAATATTCGATTTAAAAAATAAATATCAAGTATTTAATTACTCAATTACTAACATATGGGCATACACAAAGTGTGTGAAATTTTTTTTTTTTTTTTGTTTTATTTTTGAAATAGAAGAAGAGAGGAAGAGAGTGATAAAGAATGTGGAAGTGAGAAGTTATTTATTTATTTATTTTCAATCGTGGTTCGAAATACTCAAATACAATAATTAATACTCGATTTAAAAAATAAATATCAAGTATTTAATTACTCAATTATAAGTCCATCTCACCTAACTAACGGATAGTATTTGGAGAGATCATTAGTGTGGAGTTACTTTTTTATTTTGTCCAATAATATTTCAGTTTTATTGTTCAAAAAATACAATAAATATGTTATTTAATTTTTCTTTAGCTTTAAAAAGCATGGAATATGTGGCCTTTTTTTATTGATTCAAATCATAAAGTAAGTCTCATTAAAAAAATAATAAATATTTTATTTGATTTTTCTTTAGCTTTAAAAGCATTGAATATCTGGCATTTTTTATTAAATTAAATCAGAAAGTAAGTAGTTTACAAAAAAAAAAAAAAAAATCAGAAAGTAAGTACATTAAGTACTCATTAGATTTCAAAAGGGATGTGCTATCCACACACCTATTTTTACTTCTCACACATCCTTTGTTATTTTATGTCCGTTGATCTTCTTCAATTCATCCTATCCGATGGCCGAAAATTAGAAAGATGTGTGAGAAGTAAAAAGAGGTGTGTGGATATCCCATTTCATAATTCCTAAACAGAGCGTATCCTACCATCTTCTCTACATATGCCCAATTCCTTGTATTTTTATTTTCTTTTTAATGATCCAGTGAAACTGTGGAGTTAATACTATTTTAGGAATGCTAAGGCTAAATAATTGAACTTGTGTGCTAATACTAAATGTGGCAGGTACCATACCATATGAAATTGGCAATCTTCAAAGTCTACAGTATTTGTCACTGGATTTTAACAATCTCAACGGCCCCTTTCCATCCACAATCTTCAATATGTCAAAGATGACAGTACTTTCAGTTGTTGGTAATCAACTCTCAGGTAGCCTCCCAGCAGACATAGGCCTTGGAATTCCGAACCTACAAAGTATATATTTAGGAATGAATAAACTCAGCGGAGTCATTCCCAATTTTATCTCCAATGGTTCTAAGCTCAATCATGTAGACATTGTCGACAACTCATTTTCCGGGTTTATTCCTAACAAACTATGTGCCTTGGCAAACCTTGAGTATCTTAGCTTATACCAAAATAATTTGACGGTTGACACTTCAACTCCAGAAGCAAACTTCCTTTCTTGTTTAGGTAATCTTAGAAATCTTGGGGTACTCATCCTGGGGCGTAATCCTTTAAACGCGCCTCTTCCTATTTCTTTTCAGAATTACTCTACATCGCTTCAAAAAATTTCTTTAAGCGAGAGCAATTTGAAGGGTAGCATTCCCAATGATATTGGCAACTTGAGCAGCCTGATATCCTTAAACCTGGCATCCAATCAATTGAGCGGGTTAATTCCAACTTCTATTGGAAGACTAGGGAGTCTCCAAGGTTTGTATTTGGTTGATAACAAGTTGCAAGGATATATTCCCGATGACCTTTGTCAACTAAACAAACTAGCTGTATTATATTTGAGTCAGAATCAACTGTCTGGTTTTATACCTTCTTGCTTAGGTAATCTATCTGCAAATCTTAGAATTCTATCATTAGCGTCCAATTCGTTAACTTCTACACTGCCATCTACATTGTGGGAACTTGGACAAGTCTGGTTCTTTAACTTGTCATTAAATCTTCTAAATGGATCTCTGTCACAAGATATCGGCAAGTTGAAGGTTGTGTCATACATGGATCTATCAAGCAACAATTTATTTGGTGTTATACCAAGCAGCGTTGGGGATCTTCTAGATTTAACTAGTCTCTCCTTGGCAGATAATAATTGTGAAGGCCCTATTCCCAGTTCATTCGGCAAATTGAAAGGCCTGATACGGTTGGATTTATCCAAGAACAGTTTGTCTGAAGCAATTCCAAAGTCGCTAGAAGCACTCTTGAATCTGAAGTACCTGAATTTTTCTTTCAACCAACTCCAAGGGGAAATTCCAGAAGGCGGACCTTTCAAAAACTTCTCCGCTCTATCATTTGTCTCGAATAAGGCGTTGTGTGGTGCAGCTCGACTCCACGTCCCACCATGCAAAAACAATACACTTCAACCAAATTCAAGGAAAGCTAGTTCATCCAACTTGAAATATATTATTCCAGCAATAATCATAGCAGCAATATTCCTAGTAGCCATTGTGTCGATATTTATACTGCACAGGAAAAGGAAAATTGAAGTTGCAACAGAGGCTACCGTGTTACCACAATATCTTTGGAGAAGAGTTTCACGCCTGGAACTTCTAAGGGCGACAAATGGATTTAACGACAGCAACTTACTTGGAAGTGGGGGTTTTGGCTCAGTATATAAAGGGACACTCTCAGATGGGATAGATGTTGCAGTAAAGATTTTCGATTTGCAGCTAGAAGGGGCTTTCAAGAGTTTTGAGAGGGAATGTGAAACGCTGAGTAATATTCGGCACCGAAATCTTATCAAAATCATTAGCTGTTGCAGCCAATTGGATTTCAAAGCCTTGGTACTGAACTATATGCCTAATGGTAGCCTTGAGAAGTGGTTGTATTCTCGTAACTCTTCTTTTGATATCCTAAATAGGTTGAATATAATGGTAGATGTTGCATTGGCATTGGAATATCTCCACCATGGTTATTCAGTGCCAATTGTCCATTGTGATTTGAAGCCAAGCAATATCCTACTAGATGATGAGATGGTTGCACATGTTGCGGATTTTGGCATTTCAAAACTCTTGGGTTTCGGGGATTCCATGACCCAAACCATGACCCTAGCCACAGTTGGGTATATGGCTCCAGGTGATCTACTTGCTAGTTTATTATCTTTCAATTTTATAATCATGAAGAACTGAACTTCTAACTTTCTTTGGTACATTAATATTGCAGAGTACGGGATGGATGGAATTGTTTCGACGCAAGGGGATGTGTACAGTTTTGGTGTTGTAGTCATGGAAACATTCACAAAAATGAAGCCTACGAATGAAATTTTTGTTGAGGAAATGAATCTAAAGAAATGGGTTGCAAATTCACTATCATCAGAAGCAATAGCTGAAGTTGTGGATGCCAGTTTATTTGTAACACAAGAGGAAGACCCTGATTTTGTGACTAAGATAGATTGCTTATCGTCCATTATGCGATTAGCTCTTGCTTGCTGTGCAGAGCTACCAGGCGAGAGAATAAACATGCAAGAAGCTGTAGCCACACTCAAAAAAACAAAACTCAAGTTTTTGAAGGATGCTGCAAGAAGTGCGCAGTCAAACCGTCCTCTTGTTCATGCACTTTGATGGAGTTGTTAATTTATGGGTCCTCGTGTATGCATTTTGATTCAGTTTCAGTCCTTATTTGATGCAGTTGTATTTGGAACAATTGTATATTGGCTTGAAGTTTATAGTGGAGAGTCCAGACTGAATTTCATCAAATATCACCTACGCACTAAAAGTTGAAGCTAGCAATTCATGTTGTCAAAGGAGAAAGAGAAAATAAAGCCTTTTGCGGCAAGTATTAAGCCAAACTTGTCTTCTTGATGAATCAAACCAAGCTTCTTGTTAAAGAAGAAAGCAAACCCACCCGTAAGTCTTAATGTGCAGTCGAGAAGACACTAAGAAAAAACCCCAAGCATGTTCAGTACAATCACAGAATAAAAACAAGAAAGAAAAAAGCATGATTGGTCTAATTTTGAAATTTATATGACAAAAAAAAGGAGGATAACTAGTGACAAGCCATAAATATCCATATCTTTCGGTTTTGAAGAGGCTATCACCTTGCTTGTGGCTACACCAAACAGACTCATCGGCTCGGAGCATTGAACTCGAGACCTCCCACATGTTTTTGTTTATTGAAGAGCCGCAGTCCGCACCTTTACCACTGGACTACTTGTTGTGGTTCAAACCATTTTATTTGTGAGTCCGGAGATTTTTAAGCATAGAAATATTTACATTTTTTCCTCCATTACACATAACTCACAGACCAGACCACTGGCTCCAGTGTTGGACCGTCATTGATGCCAGAATTTTGTTCAAGTCACTGGAAAATGTCATGTCATTGTTGCATAAGAAATAGTAATAGGTGCAAATTTATTATCTTTAATTATATTTTTTGTGTAAGGTTATTGTTGTTTTACATGCGTACACAGTAAAGTTAGAGCCATAGAAGAAAATTCATCAGCTAGTATGTTTTTTAGAAGTAGCTGTTGGACAATGACCTTGATACAGGAAAATTTGATCGGCGATCGGCCGATCGCTGTAAATTTTTGCCGGTCAGAAAATGTAGTAGAATTGAGTGACAATTATATAATTATTTTGAGTTAACGTAGCACTTATTGAATTATTTTGGTTGACTATTCTATTAGTACCTAAACTGAAAATATGATATTTTAACCTTTTTTTTTTTTTTTAGACGAAAAAAAAAGGGACACCTCGTGCTTTAAATGCAAAAGTTCAGTCTTCCCCTTCACTCTTCTGCGTTCATAGTTCACAGCAGCATATTCAAATCCTTCCTTTTCAGTCTTCACAGCAGCATATCCAAATCCTTCCTCAAAGGTTCATTCTTTTCCAATTCATTTCTTTTTTGCGCAAATGGGTTTTTTGGGTATTTGAATTTTGTGTTTCATGTACGATTTCGGGTTGAAAGATTTGATTTTTTTTTTTTTGTTCATTTGGGGATTCACAATTGCTTGATTGATCGGTTAATATTGAAACCCTAGGCGTCTGGTGCTTTGCTGTTGAACAACGGAATTAGGAGTGGGCCGCTGGCAAAGTTTTATTGTCTTCCTCCACCTATGTCCAGGTGTTTGATAGTCTTCCTTCATCTGTCTCTCGTACTGCTTTTTGCTAGTCTTTATACACACTCCATGTGTTTGATTTAATGCCTCAATGAATTATCTGACGAATCAGTCCCCAGGGGCAATGTGAATCAGAATGAGAATGAAATGGTGGTAATTCTGATTATACCATTGTTGATGTTGAGGTAGCAAATGAGGAAAGTAAGGGTAATAGAGATGAAGGGGAGGTAGCAAAATGTTCAGTACAAAAGTATTAAACTTGGTCTAGGGGATATCTTTTTCTACAGTGTTCTTGTGCGCAGAGCTGCAATGTATGACCTTATGACTATGTATGCCTGTTATCTTGCCATTATTTTGGGGGCTCAGAGTGCACTCTTATTTTTTGGTCAGTGTACCATTGAGCTTTTCCAGCTTTGCCCATATCTATCATCTTGGGTGTCATGTTTTACTTCTCTACTCGGTTATTAATGGAGCCTTTTGTTATTGGGACAGCTACAACTTGTTGATATTTTGATAGTCCATTTGTTTTTGGTAAGAGAGATTATTTATTTAAGAGGAAGCTGACGTCCTAGGTATTTTCTGTTGCTACTGAATTCTCTATCAAATGGGTTTCCAAATTATAAGTTCATCGATAATGTCTATTGGTTTGTAATGGTGGATCAGAGTATATAAAAAGGATTTGGTTGTCTAATTTTTTTTTGGGATCTTTTATCCTTCTAAATTCCGCCCCTCCCCTCGATAATTCCTGGCTTCACCACTGCTTTACACTGCAACTAAATCGCGAATCCTTCCCCTTCATTGGCTTCACACTGCGAATCCTTCCCCTCCGCTTCAGCCAGGCTTCCAATTTCGTGCTTTAATTCAAATGGTCTCTCTTTCTTTTTATTTTTGTAATTGAGTATGTTTAGGTATTTGGTTGAAGAATGTGATATTTTACCCTCCTTGCTTTGTTGAGTTTTGTAGTTTAAGAATGTTTTGTTTGAATTTTTTACAGGTACTTGCTCTGTCTCAACATCCTCTCTCTCGACTGCTTGTTTGGTGCCTATGAAGCTTGTTAGTTTTTTCTCAATACTTACATACATATGCACTCTTTATATATAAATGTTAAAGCTTGAATCTTGGGATTATTATTTATGGGTATTAGTATTTATGTTTCTTTGTGCAGACATGTTTGAGCAAAGGTGGTGGTTACCATCTCCCACCCTGCCACATACTCAATATATGTGGTCATACCATTTTATTGGATTGCCCATTGGACCTTTCTGCTCTTACAATCTTCTCCCCTATTCCTTCTAGTTCAAAAGCTAGTCACTTGGATAAAGAGATTCCCAATTCCCTAAACTGTAGTGATTTGTTAGATTTGGAGGAGCCCTTGTTTCGGAAGAGACAAAAAGTCGAAAAGTCCCTGGATGCTGATGATTTGATTTGCGCAGTTCCCTGGTACAAAACTGTCAACAACTTACACCTATGGAATGCCTCTTTTATTGATGCGGTATTGATATCAAGTCCGATGGGTATGCTAGGATTACCATTTATTACTCGGATGAAGGGATTTTCTGCTAAGGTATAATTTGATTTAATATAAGATAATCTAATTTCCTACTGTCATTTTGGTGTTTAAGGAATTTGTTTATAACTTCAATTTGTAAGTATTTTCATGGAGTTGGATCTGATTTCTTAGCTTTGTTGTTTCTTAAAATGTGTCAGATATATGTGACTGAAGCAACAGCAAGACTTGGGCAACTTATGATGGAGGATCTTGTTTCAATGCATATGGAAATCAGGCAGTTGTTTGGACCTGAGGAGTCATCTTTTCCTCAGTGGATGAAGTGGGAAGTGCTTAAGCTTCTTCCTTCTTCGTTGAGACAGCTGGTATTAGGCAAAGATGGGGGTGAGCTGGGTGGTTGGATGCCCTTGTACAGGTACTTAATACTGCATCCAAATGGTTAATGTTTGGTTGAATATGCCAACTGCCTACCCGTGCTGTTGTACATATACATGTTTTAAGTCAGTCTATATAACCTCGCTGTAATTTTGTGTTCTGGAATTGTAAACAATCATCAGCATCTCTATTGGAAGGTGATGGAGAAGAAGCTAATTTCTTTGACGATTTCCCAACTAAATTTATGAAATATTTTTAGGATGTAGATTGGGGAAATATTATCTTGTCTGACAATTTGACATTTTATGTTACTAGACTTTGGTCTGAACCATTTATCAGATGGTGTATTGTTCTTTGGAATCATGTGTTCAAGTTGACAATTTTAAATTAACAGTCTGACAAGATCATTACCCCTCATATTGATATACTTGGTTGTCTGTTACCCCTCAAATTATCTGGAATTTCTGTGTAGCAAGATTCTGTGTGTAAGAATGTAATGAAGAGTTCTTCTCAGTGCAGCTGATGTGAAGGACTGCATGCAGAAGTTTCTAAGAGTTAAATATGCAGAGGAAACTTGCTACAACAGCACATTGATATTAAAGGCATTCAGTTCGGGATTAGAAATAGGCTCTTGTAATTGGACGATAAAGAGTCCCAAGGGGAGCGTTGGATTTATTTCAAGTTCCATCTTTGATTCTGCTCATGCAATGAATTTTGATTGCCATGCTCTTCAAGGGAATGATACGATGATATATTCAGATTTCTCATTCTTGGATGCTGCAGAACATGTTGAGAGTGACTTTGATAATGCAAGTGATTGTCAAGAGTTAGCCATGTCTTTACTTAATATTAATGACAGTTTGGAGGAAAGGGACAAGCTAACTTTTATATGCTCCTGTGTAATTGACTCTGTAAAAGCTGGAGGCTCAGTCCTTATTCCTATTAGTCGACTTGGGATTGTTCTGCAGCTGTTGGAACAGATATCATCTTCATTAGATGTTTTGAATTTGAAGGTAACTTTTTTGTCTTTTACAAGCTTCCTTGCCAAATCCACATATATTAAAAACTGAGATTCGGTGTGTTAGCTCTTCAGTTTTCAAAAGACATTAGTTTCGGAGCTGCACTCCATGTCTAAAACTTATTCCTACACAAATTGGGTGTCATCATATGGTTTTTGTTTTACTTCTTGTATATGTATTGCTGTCATTCTATGCATCTATCACATGGATAGTTTGCATGCTCTGTGCTAGTGTGGTTTATGTGAATAGAAACAAACTTGGAGACTAGATTTCAACATATGTGAATTGATTGTTTCTGTGTGCAATTTATTGCTTGATTATTTTTGCTTGCCCAAGTTCTTGATTCAAGAGTTTGATACTGGTGGGTATTTTGTATATCTGTGATCATAAACTGGAACCATTGCAAAGTAGGGATGACTTTACACTTTGCTGACTTTAAGTACTATCAGCAGTATCAAAGTTAACTAATTGCTTTGTGTCAAAGATGTATAATTAACAGGGTTCTTTAAAAGTGAAATAGAGATGAAGAATACTTTCAATCATACTGAGACATAATACATCATACTGAGATGTAACAAAATGCTACATTGATAGTATTAGAAGTTTCATATGTGGAAGTTGTGTCATACATGGACCTATCAAGCAACAATTTATTTGGGGTTATACCAAGCAGCGTTGGGGATCTTCTAGGTTTAATTAGTCTCTCCTTGGCAGATAATAATTTTGAAGGCCCTATTCCCAGTTCATTAGGCAAAGTGGAAGGCCTGATACGGTTGGATTTATCCAAGAACAGTTTGTCTGAAGCAATTCCAAAGTCGCTAGGAGCACTCTTGAATCTGGAGTACCTGAATTTTTCTTTCAACCAACTCCAAGGGGAAATTCCAGAAGGTGGACCTTTCAAAAACATCTCGGCTCTATCATTTGTCTCGAATAAGGCGTTGTGTGGTGCAGCTCGATTCCATGTCCCACCATGCAAAAACAATACACTTCAACCAAATTCAAGGAAAGCTGGTTCATCCAACTTGAAATATATTATTCCAGCAATAATCATAGCAACAATATTCCTAGTAGCCTTTGTGTCGATATTTATACTGCACAGGAAAAGGAAAATTGAAGATGCAACAGAGGCTACCGTGTTACCTCAATCTCTTTGGAGAAGAGTTTCGCACCTGGAACTTCTAAGGGCGACAGATGGATTTAACGATAGCAACTTACTTGGAAGTGGGGGTTTTGGTTCAGTATATAAAGGGACACTCTCAGATGGGATAGATGTTGCAGTAAAGATTTTCGATTTGCAGCTAGAAGGGGCTTTCAAGAGTTTTGAGAGGGAATGTGAAACGCTAAGTAATATTCGGCACCGAAATCTTATCAAAATCATTAGCTGTTGCAGCCAATTGGATTTCAAAGCCTTGGTACTGAACTATATGCCTAATGGTAGCCTTGAGAAGTGGTTGTATTCTCAGAACTCTTCTTTTAATATCCTAAATAGGTTGAATATAATGGTAGATGTTGCATTGGCATTGGAATATCTACACCATGGTTATTCAGTGCCAATTGTCCATTGTGATTTGAAGCCAGGCAATATCCTACTAGATGATGATATGGTTGCACATGTTGCGGATTTTGGCATTTCAAAACTCTTGGGTTTCGGGGATTCCATGACCCAAACCATGACCCTAGCCACAGTTGGGTATATGGCTCCAGGTGATCTACTTGCTAGTTTAATGTCTTTCAATTTTAGAATCATGAAGAACTGGAACTTCTAACTTTCTTTGGTATATTAATATTGCAGAGTACGGGATGGATGGAATTGTTTCTACGCAAGGGGATGTGTACAGTTTTGGTATTGTAGTCATGGAAACATTCACAAAAATGAAGCCTACGAATGAAATGTTTGTTGAGGAAATGAATCTAAGGCAATGTGTTGCAAATTCACTGTCATCAGATGCAATAGCTGAAGTTGTGGATGCCAATTTACTTGTAACACAAGAGGAAGATCCTGACTTTGTGACTAAGATAGATTGCTTATCGTCCATTATGCGATTAGCTCTTGCTTGCTGTGCAGAGCTACCAGGCGAGAGAATAAACATGCAAGAAGCTGTAGCTACACTCAAAAAAATAAAAATCAAGTTTTTGCAGGATGCTGCAAGAAGTGTGCAGTTAAACCGTCCTCTTGTTCATGCACTTTGATGGAGTTCTTAATGTATGGGTCCTCGTGTATGCATTTTGATTCAGTTTCAGTCCTTATTTGATGCATTTGTATTTGAAACAATTTTATATTGGCTTGAAGTTTATAGTGGAGAGTCCAGACTGATTGATCAAACATTATTATTTCATCAAATGTCACCTAAGCACTAAAAGTTGTAGCTAGTAATTCATGTTGTCAAGGCAGAAAGAGAAACGAAGCCTTTTGAAGCAAGTATTAAACCAAAATTGTCTTCTTGATGAATCAAACCAAGCTTCTTGTCAAAGGAGAAAGCAAACCCACCCGTGAGTCCTAATGTGCAGTCGAGAAGAGACTAAGAAAAAAAGCCCGAGCATTTTCAGTACCATCACAAAATAAAAACAAGAAAAAAATAAAAAAGCATGATTTGTTACATTTGCACGAGTAAACAATTTCAAATTCAAATGCTTTTTGTATGAATGATCTTTAAATTGGAATCAAGAATTTAACGATTTTGATTTTGAAATTTATACGATGAAAAAAAAAAAAGTGAATTATTCAATCAAATGAAATTGAACATATTTCCATGCCCAATATACATATCCTGAAATTTTGTACAAGAAACTCCATTGCTTAATTTGTTTGCACAACTGTAGGTGAAAACCTTAATTCGTTTCCAAGTGTGGACACAGTTTTAGGACTCGATTCATGAACTCCAAAATAATGAGGCAAAATCAGATTAAATATCAATTTTAATATATGTATTAAGAAAATAAATATCAATTACCAAGCTCAAACCATTTTATTTGTGAGTCAAGACATTTTTAAGCATAGAAATATTTGTATTTTTTTCCTCTATTACACATGACTCACAGACCACCGACTCCAGTGCTGGATTGCCATTGATGCCAAAATTATGTTCGAATCGCTAGAAAATGTCATGTCATGTTCAAGAATGACATAAAAAATAGCAAGAGGTGCAACTTTCTCATCTTTAATTATATTTTTCGTGTGAGTTTATTGTTGTTTTACATGCATACATTGTAAAGTTAGATAGACCTTAGAAGAAAATTCATCATCTAGTATGTTTTTTTAAAAGTAACTGTTGTACAACGAACTTGTTACCGGAATATTTGATCGAACGATCGCTGCAAAACGTTTGCCGGTCGGAAAACGTATTAGAATTGTGACAATTATATAAAAATATGATATTTTAACTTCTTTTTTCTTTAACTTTTTTTTTTTTTTTGACAAAAAGATAAAAGTGACACTTGGTGCTTAAATGCAAAAATTTAAGGGATGTAGTTAAACTTGAATTTGAGAGACTTAAAAATCCTAATGTAGTCAATTAAAAAATTTAAAAGAATTATAAAATCCATTCAAATCTAGGTGTAATCAATTAAAGGATTTTATAATTCTTTAAAATCTAGGTGTAGTCAATTAAAATATTTTAAAGGATTTTAAAATCCATCCAAATCTAAACGTATTCAAAAAAATTAAGATTTTGGAAGATTTCAATAAGCTGTGGATTTTGTGAAATTTGAAAGCCAAAAATATATATAACCAATACTAAAAAGAATCCAACCTCATTTTCTAGGATTTCAAATCATTCGACCATAATCTACCCCAATTCATTCAAATTCTTTAAAAATCCATATGAATTTTGTAGAAGTTTTTCTTAAATCCTATCATTCTTCCCTTCACTCGTCTGTTCACAGTTCACAGTAACAAATCCAAATCCTTCCTCTTCAGGCTTCACACTGCGAATCCTTCCCCTCCGCTTTGTTCCAGGCTTCCAATTTCGTGCTCTAATTCGAATGGTTTCTCTTTCTCTTTATTTTTGTAATTGAATCCCCCCGAAACCTATGGGAATGCTAAGACCGTGCTCTCTCTCGTCCTTATACGCCCGACTCCTCTCTCTCTCGGCGTCGTCTGAACGACTCCTCTTTTGCGACCGCATCTGCTTGACCCTTCCGGCGTCAGCCACCACTCTCCGCTGCGTCGTCGTCTGATCGACTCCTTTCTCGCGTCCTCGTCTGCTTGACCCCTTCGGCCTCAGCCAGCACTCCCCGCCGCGTCGGCTGATCGACTCCTCCCGCGTTCTCATCCTGCCCGACGACCTCGCCAGACCATCCCACCGACCACTGAAACTCAAGTCGCAGATAATTGTTGATGTTTACGAAATCATGGATTTTGTTTTTCACAGATGTGAAAGTCCCCTATTGTTTATTCTCTTGCCGCTTGATTTCGGCTTTGCTCTTTGGTACTTGCTCTAACCCTCACAAGATTTGCAATTTCTGCTAATGGTGATTAGAATTTGTGCCGTTGCCTTGGAATTCGGTTTTTTTTTTTTTTTTTTAAAAACCAATTTATCTGTGAATTTGGTGTTATGATCTGTGAATTTGCTTCTGTTTTGTATCCAATTCATTATTCGAATATGTTTTTGAGACCAAAATTCGGTTTGCTGATTACCTTTTTGTTTACCTTCATAATTTAGTCCAGGGCATATAATCTGCAAGCTGCACCAAACAATTCACTATTTTTGTCCTGAATAGTTGAAGATAAGCCAGTTCAGCTTAATTTCAGAAGTTAGTCTAGTCTGAAGATAATTTGGTGCAACAAACGCACATTGTCCTGTCGACAAAAGTGGCAGAGTTCCGAAGCAAAATAAGGGATTAGAAAGATCGTGAGTCTTCAGATTACTGAATAGTAGAGAAGTAGACGTGATATATACCTGGTCGATGGAATGTCCATACTTTTGTTTGTAACACTCAAATGTTGCTCGTAGTTGAAAGATGTTCCTTGTGCTGAGTATCCAAACAACATGATCATGATCGTATTGCTTTGTTTCGATGGCTTCATGTAACCTAGATGCCTCTGAATCGGCAATGCCTGTATCCACCAGCTGCCTATCGTACCTGTACGAGAAGCCGTGCCAACCAACAGTATGAGTCAATAGAATGCAACACTAGACCCAGTCCGAAACCACAATTTTCTGTTTTCAGTGAACGAAAACAAATGACATTTTCCTTTCTTAGCAAATTTTTTTGTAAAAGCATTTCAGACAAGTGGAGCTAACAGAAGGTTTGACGCAAAACCAAACGTAATGGTATTTTAGGATTCATACAATCTACCCTACTTAGTGGGATAGGGTTCGGTAGTTGTTGTTGTATCATTTCTGACAAGTACTGCTTAATTGCTTTAAAATCTTCACCCTTTTTTAGAATATTTCCAGACGAAGATGTTAGTAATCACTGAGCATTATAACAACGAAAATTTACCAAGTATTTGAACCTGATATTCCTGACGTAGGAAAGTATGTTTTCACCTTCTGATAGGTAGGGAAACGTTGAGGCAAATTGTGGACCTACATCTCATCTTTTAACACAGACTGTCAGAGAGGGAGAGGTAGATGAAGAGGAAGAGAAGTGCATCTTGCTCACTGCCATAAAGTGACAAAAATAAAATAAAAGTGTGTTGCCTTATTAATTTTTTTTTTTTTTTTAATTTGTGTAGTAATCAAACTCTTTCAAAGTAATTAATAGGGTGACGAGCATCACTATCATTATAGGGTGTGGTGAGTAAAAATATTTCCGAAGAAGAAAGAGAAGGACATTGAGTTGTGAAGTGAAGAAAAAAGAGAATTAAGTACATTTTGTTCCATTGAAGTTTAGAGTCAGTTTCAAAATGGATGATGAGGTTTTTACTTTTTCATATTGCATTCCACTTTTTTTCCTTGAATGAATTTACACCCTTTCATATTGATTATCGTTAATTAATAACGTGGAACTACAAGACTCATCCAAAATGTCTTCGATGTATTTTACGGGACACGGTTGGCATGTTTCAAAATAGGTGATGAGGTTTTTACTTTTTCATATTGCATTTCCTTGAATGAATTTACATCCTTTTATATTAATTATCGTTAATTAATAACGTGAAACTACAAGACACGTACAAAATGTCTTCGATGTATTTTACGGGACATGGTTGGCATGTTTGGAGGATGAGTTCTGCTCCGGTACACGATCAATTAATAATCAATCTAAAAAATGTATCAATTGTTTTTTTTTTTTTTTCATCCAGAAGACTAGAACTATGCTCTGATCATTGATGACAACACCAAAGACGGTCAACTAGTTCCATTCGTGGAAGATAAGGAGGCAGCAAGTCGTTGATGATACTGCAATCTCGGACTGAGTAATTGATGAGTCATGTACTGATGGAACCCATTTCGTAGAAAGGGTAAAGAAAAAATAATGTAAAAAAAGTAGAGAGTTTTAATGAAAAATCTGCAGCGTTGTTTATTTTAATAAAAAAATTTATTTTTTTATATTAAAAAGTCAATCCTGATACTGTTCACTTTATCCATTATTTTGTCCTTACCATTAAAACTCAAAATTTTCAAATCTTTTTCATTAGTTTTCTTAAAAAAGTAAGAACTAAATTAACAATATTTTTCATTCATGTCTTTTGTTTTGTTTTGTTTTTGTTTGTTTGTTTGTTTATTTATTTATTTTTTTTTTGACAAATGATATTATTTACATTAAAAAAAATGTACTTAGCCTTGATTCAAATTCACCTTCCGTGAGAAGCGAACTTAAATCTCACTTACAACCACTAAATCATGACCATTAAAATAAACATAGAAATTTAAATACATTGAAGGATAGCAAGGGTTTAGTGGACCTAATGGGCCTACATTAATAGTGTGCTAAAAAATACTAGGAACAAAAAGTCCCAAGGATCATAACATGTACATGATAATAAAATACCCAAGTTTCTAGAAACAAAAAAACAAAAGTACTTTTGGGCGCCTTGCTTTATGAATGAAGGAGAAATTTTCCAAAGAAAAAAAAAATAAAAACAAAAAAAATGGCAACTTAGTTCCATTCGCGTAACCTTCTCTTTGAATGTAGTATTCTCACCGCTGTGCGAGTATTTTCTATATTCTCAAAACTTGTAGCTGTTGGTCCTAGATGTGCTCAGAGTCGGGTGCAGTCCTCCTCTGTTCTTTATCTTTATCTTTTTTTTTCTTCTTCTTTTCCTCCCTGCCTGTCATCCCCCATTGCCCTTACTCTTTCAATCCATATTGTTTTCGATTTGCGTGTCTCATCCTAAACTATCAACCCTGATAATTAAATATGAGGAGAAATTGATATGCTGAGCAAAAATATTTGGGTGTGAGTCGTGTGACTTCTATAAATAATGTTCGTCTTGTTCTCTTGCCAATAGTCGGGCAAAAAGTGTCTTCGTGATTTCTACTAGAAGAACAGGACGTAAGAAGGACTAAAAACTTGAACAAATCTAAATCAATAGCATCAAAATCCGAGGAATCCTCCCATTAAATCATAACAAAGCTTGTGGATAAATCTCAGGATCTGTCAACAAAATAACTCGTTAAACGATCGCTTGAAATAAAAAAACAACCCAATTATTGGTATATGAATTACAAACTTATGTACGTGGATTATGTCATTAATTGCTTAGAGAATGTTTGAACTATGTCCTTAACTATTAGAAAATGTTAACAAATGTTTATAGGTAATCTAAAAGTTTCTTAAGCCTCTATTAGTAATATACTGATATTTCCTTAAAGTCATATTCAACTGCAGAAAACTTGGGCTTACTTTCAAAATAGGCTTTGCTAATCTCATCCCATTTCATTCATTAACTTGAGCAAAGAGGGAGTGGTCTCACCAGCTTGAGTCTCTGCACGCTACTTTGAAGTTGCATCGAGACTTCTTCGAACATGAAATCAGTTTATTGAAACGCTAAAATGCCTCAGTGATTGATTGATTTATTTCAGTTTCTCTTAATGATAACACAACACACATACAGATAGCTATAACAGCCATGAAAAGGCCAAACAATCGAAAACAATTGAAAAGGGTAACACAGAGATGCTTCCAATTAATCCCGACAAACCCCAACTTTCCGTCCTGCCGTTTTAGTCAGCCTCCTTTTGCAAGCAATGTGAGTAGGAAATCCTTATAATTCCCATTAGCCGTCTCTTCAATTTTCTCAACTAAAGAGACTCCATGATGGTTCTCGAATTCCTCCTTGATCTCCACCATGTCCGAGTGAGCTCGGGTAACAATTACTCTAGTCAATCCCTTCTTGGTATGCTTATGGACATCAGTTCTCAATGAATCTTCCAAGACCTGATAAGCACAAGAGTTCAAGAATTTCATGCACAAGATTGCTTGAGAGGTCATATGTAATATTGCATGAGTAACTTGATACAAAATTTGTGACTCTGGCTTACCTTGCTGAAATATTTCTCAGGAGTACACAGGCACTGCACCGTCTCTTTTAACCTCACAGCATGATCAAGATCCTAAACAAAACAATGTGACTTTAGAAAATAGATGCAAGTAGCATTCTGAATACTGGAAGTATTTCGGTTGACAAAATTTCTGGATAATGTTGCACAGCCAATTCTTTCTCCCAAATTATTTCTCTTGCATACGTCAGGTTGCATATTACATGCCGTCTAAGTAGGCCAAGAAAAGTTCGAAGAATTAGCTAGGCAGTTAAACGTTTCTCTTTGGACCTTATATACATACTTCATCAATGTCGTGGCCAGAAATTTCCTTGTAGTGTTTAGAGACTTCCTTGAGATGGGGCTTGCTCCTTGTTGATAGTATCCTGATCACCTCATCACCTTCATTGGGGTGCCTCTTATCGACATCCTTAATGGCATTAACAAGTGTTTTGGCCTCAGATTTTGCAGTGTCATCCTTAACCTTTGATCCTTCATACCTATAGGAACTCACAAGAGCAACCAAGAGCTGGACAAAATGAAAACGAAACACCACTTAAATGCCTTCACATATTCATTTCCTACACACACATATTACAATTCATATGCTCAAGGTCCGAATACGAAGAAAATGAAGAAAATAAATGAATTTCAAATGACTCATTACGTGTAGTTTTTAAACCTTATCTTTGTGCAATAGTCGTGCAATAAAATTGAAAAAAAAAAAAAAAAAAACCAACGAAGTACAAGGCCCATATTTCTCAATTCTCACTTCGATCTATCTCAGGTCACAATTATCAAACAGGCACTATTATCCCACAAACGAAAGAAAACTAAGAGACAACCATGCAAGTACTGAGTATGGAAGATGAAATTTACCTTGCCTTCAGGGCCATCAATGTGGTAGGCAACATCTTCCTCAATGGAGTGATCAAAGAGGGAATGGTAGGCCTTCCTAGCTCCTAATAGCTCCTCGGACGATCTCGTGCATGCAATCTCAACAAGAATACCATATGATTCTGGACCTTTCTTCAAGGCCTCCTTTGCCAAACGAGCATCTCTTTCCCATGGATGCATTGTCCATAGGACCACAGCATTCTGACAAAATTCATAATAAAGAACCTCATCACTCCTATTCTCATCATTATGCACAAATTTGAAGACTAATGTTTCTTATTAGACTAATGTTATAAGTCAATTATTGGACTGTGAATAATCCACACATGCAAACATGACTCTAGTTTACCAAATGAGATTATGGGGCTGCCGCCCTTTTGAAAGACAGATTTGCAATAATGTGTTGATTAGTATCAACAACATGTTGATAGTTTGTCAATATCGCTTTGTTATTGATTTAGTATCAACGTGTTATTGTCAATCTATTTTTAATAAAGGGCGGACGTCCAAAAGAGAGATAAACTAGTGTGTGTTCATATTAGCATTTATTTTTTTTCTAGCTTTATCAAGTTGTGCAAGCATGTTAGATACATTGGTAGGACACCACAACAGACATACAGACATATCTAACCAAATTTGGAATGACAATTAGAAGTGAAACCAATAATTGTTCCAAGAGTGAATTACACAGAGGGAGTGCACAGTTGGTTTGGTTCAGTTGATAAATAATACAAATAAATAAGAGGTCACAGATTCAAATCCGCTTCTATCAGAGTTGAGTGATTTGGAATTAAGATGCAGCTTAAGAAAATTAAAATGAAAATGCCTTAAGAATAAGATAAAATAAAACGACCAGAAAGTTACCTTAAAACGCAAGAACTCATGCTTTAGAAGCTTGATATGGTGATCATCCCAGCGCTCGAAGGAACGTTCATCTTCCTTGAAAAAGTGGGGAGTTGTTGCTTTCCTGAAGGATTGCCTTTCCTCAGGATGCGATTTTCCCAATATTGCTACCAGTGCCTTCTCATCAACTCCAAGTCCTGCCTCAGTTAAATTAACATATATTATTTAATTTAATTAATTAATTAATACAACCTTTTTATCACTAATTTTAAAAAGACTAGTGAAAAACTCATATTCCCGTCTAATTAACTACGAATTCCACTATGATGTGTTTATATATTTACTTCATATCAGAATGAGAAGGAATTGGGATAAAAAGGAATCCAAATGCGAAGTATAAAAATTACTGTTTGATATAAAATTGTGGAAGAACTGAGTTTTTGTAGCTACAAAAGATTAGTCCATAAACTGTAAATTTTTATTTTTACAAACAATATTGCAGTGGCGGAAATCGAACTGGGACTTAAAGGGTGAATGTTCTTGATATACTTAAGCTGCTTTCAGCTGTAAAATTAAGCAAATAGGGGAAATCAATTTAATTCACATGTGATTGACTAATTCACTAAGATAAAAAAAAAAATTGAATAAAAGAAAAATTACTCTAAAGAATTAGAAGAATTAAAATTGGAACGTAAACAAATCGTAATTGTAAGAAAATTAACGTAAACAAATCGTAATTGTAAGAGAATTAACACATTGAAATTGAAATGATAAAATAAAATAGAGGAAAATTATTATTTAGAGGGAACCTGAGAAAGCCTTGGTGAGAGTTTGCAGCTCAGGAGTGAGAGCCATTGTCTTGTCTGTGTTGATTCTGTTGATGGAGATCTTCTTGCCGTGCCGCATTATATATGAACCCGAAAAGTTATATTTGTCATTTCGAGTCAAGGGTACTTTAGTAACTTTAGCTATATTATAAGTCATTAGACTGTATAGTAATGAGATGTAAGGAATTGATTAAACGGCAATGAAACAGACGTAGCCGTATTTTACAAATTTATACAAGTGTAAATATGTGTCATTTATTCATGTGGCGTTTCTAATCCGTGCATCTTTGGCCGCATATATGGTGTATATTTTAATTCCCATGGTTTTCACCCCTAAAATTTTTATGTTGCCTTCAAATAAAGAGGAATGCTAAGAGGACTCTTTATAGATTCTCTGTCACCTCACAGTTTAACGTTAATTCTTGTACTAACATTATAAAATATTATGTAAAAAACATGATGTGACAGAAAGTCTATGAAATGTTCATTTTTGAAAAAGTATTGTTAACATTTCTCTTAAATCAATTGAGTGGTGAAAAAGTGATGGGAAAAGGGTCAAGATTGAATCACAATAATTGTGTCATAACCATTCAGGACTCTATTTTCATATTCAATGATGTTCACATATAAAATTACAACACTGTTTAGAATTTAATGCATTTTTTACAATTTTTTTTTTTTAACAAGTTGAAATTACAACGACGATTCTCTAGAGATTTTAATAAAATGTAGTCATAATACCGTATTTATTGACAAAACTATGAAACGGTGAAAACCAAATACATTTATTATGACATACATTGAAGCCCAATTTGAGTTATTGCATTTATTGTCATATTGGTCACTCAAAAAATATGTGAGAATGATATTTATACAAACTTTTATTCGTGAGATGAATAATATCTTTAATAGTGCACTTGATTTTGAAAAGAAGTTACACCTTAACGGGTAGAACAACTTATACCCAAATTGGGTTAAAATTCGAATTCTTTAATTTGAATGTAACGAAATGCATATACCATCATAAGAAGAAAAAAAAATTATACCCAAAAAAAAAATATTAATAAAATATTTAGGAAAAGCCTAATACTTGCAATTATGTTAGAGTGTTAATATGCTCACCTCCTATTTCTTTTTCCCTCACAAATTAAATTTGTCATCTATATTTTAATCTTGTACTAAAAGGTGCAATCATCTTAGTGCTAATATCGTCCAATCTTGTGTATTTAATGTATTTTTCATGTATGAAAGTGTGTTGTGATGTTGAATGAAAAAGAATAATAACATATATAATATATAATTATATATATTTGGTGTTACAGATAATTTTGTTTCAACAAGTGTAGACACACAAAGATGGAAGGTGTATTATAAGACTCCCTAATGTGATAAGTGTGACAACTTACAAGTTAAAAATTTGTTGGTGACCACGTCGTGTAATGCATATTGTTAACAACTCAATGCTTTCGTGTCTTAGTTCCCATGTGCGCACACACAACACATACACGACGGATGCCTTTTCTCGAAGGGAAATCCGTCTAGCAAAAATAAATAATTCGAACAACTTATATCGTGCTTGCCATGAATTTAAATTAGATATTATTATGGCCAACTATCCAGGTAAGGATTTGATGTGAAATATATCCTGAATTATTTATGCATGAGACTCTTTAATGGTTGTTTGGGAATCATGTGATGAACATCTTCTCTAATTGTCCTATATATGCATGGATCACATGTGGTTCCTAAACTATTGAACAAAGGAAGATTATAATCACACGCTCCAAATTACTTTTCCCACATTTTTTAATTTTTTAATATTTTTCTATCAAGTGTTATTGATGTGTAGAAAATATTAAAAAAATTAAAATGGTGTGGAAGAAGTAATTTGATGTGTATGAATATAATCTCTCTTGAACAAATCAAATAAATATGAAGGGTTGAAAATCAAACTAAGTCATACAAACAAATTATAAAACTATGAATATTACTCAATTAACTGAAATTAAAAAAAAAAAACCACTACAAGTTAGTCGAGACGGCTACATAATTCACAAGACTATATTTTGAGTTACTTATTGTAAAATAATGAGTACAAACACTCCAATAAAAAATTAAAAAAAAACTAAAGCAAAACCGGATTAGAAATGCTAATTCTTGTCTTCCAACATGAACTTCCTTATAGCAAAGTTATATACATAATGTATATCATTATACCTATAAATTGCCTTTTTCTAACTTATTTTTTCTGCAACATGTAGTGCTTTTGCTCTAACCATTCATTTGAAATTCCTAATTTTCTTCTTTTTCACGTGGGAAAAGTATAAAGATAAGCAGTATCCATATCACATTAATTCTGACGTAAAATATTTTAGTTCAGAATCTTCCTCTCGAGTGAAGAAGCTCGTCGGATTTTTCTTGTTTAAAGTAAAATGCCACCTGAAAGTTGAAACGCAGGCGGCAAGCACAACTAACAAAAGCAATTATTTAGTACTGTAGGGCAGCCTAATCCATTTGTTGAAACATAAGCATAATTGCATCCACATATAGTTCTACGTAAGAGTCAAAATGTGCAGGCACAGCTCGGGATAGACATCGATCTGTTGTGTTCATATTATTAAAAAAAGTTTGAAGAAGTTGGCTTGCAACGTAAACGTAATTAGCAATATATCAAGAGTAATTTAACTAATACACGTGCGAGATTTCTCTTTTTTAGATTTGGAATTTATTCTCAACATGTTCTGTCACATGTATGAATTTTCAAACCTAACACATTGACAACACAAATTTGGTGACATGGAGTACGTATGTGCGTTGGGATTCACAAGTGAGACAACATGCTCTGCTTATAAGCACATTCAAAGTTTCTCTTTTCTGACATGAAATCCACTCTATAAAATATGTTCATATTAGTATATGGAAATATGTTAAAGAGACTCTCTTAAATTAAGATTCTCCATAAACTCTCTGACACATTATATTTTTGATACAATAATATTCTATAATATTGACACGAAAATCATGTCAAAAGCATAAAATAAGGAAAAATTTATAAAAATCCTACTTTTAGAATAATCCCCTTAGCATTTCTCTTATTAAGAACTGTGGGGATATTGTAATCATCACTGATTGATCCTTTGAAAGTTGGAACAGGTTGTCATATCTCTTGTCCTATTATTTTTAATCATTGTACTGTTTGTTTTCTTAAGTATCACGATATGTTTTCATAAGGATTTTGTGCTAATACTGTCCGGTAAACTAAAGTATCATATTAATCCTTACGTACTTTTTATTCCGTTTAAATCCTAACACAACCTAATTTAATATATTTCCCACACCATCCTCAATTTAAGAGGTTATTGACAATAGGTAACATTTTCAAACGAGTCTTTGAGAAAATTTTCGAGTAGATGGTCAAATCAACTAAGTAAAACAATAAAATTATTAATAGACCAGAATTAACTCAAATTCCTAAGTAAAAGCAATGGATGTTTTTGGTCTAAGAATGCTCTGAAAATCAAAGTTCGTAAAATTTGCTCACAATGTATGTGTTATAATTTGCTCACTTAATACTACAGTCTAATGATACTTCTCTTCACTTATAAGTGAGAGGTTTTAGGTTCGATTCTCAATATAAGCGAATTTGAATCACATTATCTTTAACCCGTTATGAAGCTTAGCACACTCCCTCTAATATAAATAATATCGTTTGTTATAAAAAATAAAAAATAAAAAAAAGTCTTTATTTTTCTTTGTATTAAAAAAAGGGCCAACTGGTGAGTTTTCCACGGTAGTCCACCCTTCTGGGGGTCAAGAAGACTCCACAGAGGATTAGAGGCATTTCAGTCTCTTATTGGCCACCACGTGTGATTTCTAGCGCTAGAAATCAAACTCAGGACGTGTCGTGTAGAATACGAGCCTAGAATTTTTCAACAACCTCTGGACAATCCGTGGTGGTTATATGTGTTAAAACTTAAAAGAGTTGAAGGGTGATTAATTGTGTAAGTAGTCTTCTTTCTTAGTGTTGTTCTTGTAGATGTCAATAAACAATTAAACTGCCAAACAGCAAGCCAGGCAGTTAAACACACACACAAAAAAAAAAGAAAAAAAAAATGAAGCTATGTATGATCAAAATATCGTTACAAAGTTAAACCTAATTAAATCCAACTTGAAAGAAGTAAAATCTAATAAAGTCATTAGAACCAAAACCAAATGTTAATCGAGTAATTAGCACTCTTGCGGAGGAGTAATGAGAATTTGGTAACCGAAAAATTAATAAAGTTTGTGGTCTCTGTGTATAAAGCACAAAGTATCGTGTGCAGTTATATTTTGGACAAACACCACTTTTCCTTTGCTAGGGTTGCCCTATTTATTTTATTTCCTTTTTGTTTTTTTGGGTAAACTATTTTCCTTAATTGTTTGGTAACCAAGAAAAGTCCTTGTAGCGGTCGCACTAAGGGGTGAGTTCAAACCTCTTCTTTGTGTAAATTTGAGGGTTAGCAATATAATTTGATGAAAATGACCACATTTTTAATAGATTAAAATCAAAGATCAAATAAGTCAAATTCAAAAACGGAAACCAAAATATGTATAAAAAAGTGATTAAATGAAATTATTTCTTAACGCAACAATATGTTTACATTAAAGGGTGCGAGGAAGTGACTCCACACATTATTCACGTCATTATTAAACAAAATTTCTTACAGTTAACGGTTAAGTCAAATGTCATAATTTCACAATGTACAAATACCAAATTGTTACGGTTAAGAATACATGTGTAAACCGTCCTAAAAGAGAAAAGTTCAGGTACTAAACGGAGTTAAATAGCCTCAAAATATTTAATAGCAAATCGGGGTTATTCTTGTAAATTCAAAATATATAAAATTTTGGGGCATATTTTCATTTGGTCCGAATTAAGGCAACTATGTGAGTATGAAAAGATGATGATACAAAATCTTTGATTTTCCAGCGAAGGTTGAGGCGGAGGACGAGCAAAAAAACAACGAAGAGAACAAGAAGGAAACGGCTAAATGCGGAGCTTCTTTGGTAAAGGCCGTACCTCGTCACTTCCCAAACAAAATGCTTCGTCTGGAAGCTCAGCTTCAGAGAAAGATTTCAAGCTGATGAGCGGATCCATGGGCAGTCTCAAAATACCAGAAGCTATTCCTCCTCCCGACCAAGACTGTCAGAGACTTAAAAAAGCCTTTGATGGTTTTCTTCTCACTCACTCACTTGCTCATTCACATGATCCAATTACAGTTTATGATGGTTCTGCGTCCTTAACTGCTTTATTCAATTGCGTGTAGCCAAGTTAGCTACAACAGCGTGCTTCTGTCTTGTTGTAGTTTAGATAGAGTGGATTAGAATTTGGTTATGTTAAAATAATTGTTTTATTCAATTTTCTTGGTTTATGAGATTTCTGAATTTTGGATGGGATGAGTTTGATTTCTTCATGTTGTTAATTGGCAGAAACATGTGTGGCTTTTTGCATGTCTATCATCTTCTCTTATTCTCTTTCTGAAAAGCTGAGTAGGATAAATTTTCTATAAAATTTTCTGTTATTTTTCATTATGTTTTTAGAAAAAAAAGTAATCAAATTCTATCATTTTCTATTATTTTTCATTACGTTTTGGAAAATAAATTTTGTTTGTTGAGACTTGGAGTATTTGAAGCCTGAAGACTTGATGCAAAACCGAGTGTAGTGGCGTCCTAAGATTCATACAGTCGACCTCATTTAGTGGAATAAGGCTTTGTTGTTCTTATTGTTGTTGCTGCTGTGATCATAAATGAATTTGCTGCTGCTATTGATTCATGAATACTTGTTTTTCTATATATATTATCAATAGTAATCTTAAGTGTTGGTGTAACAGGATTGGGAACAGATGAGGACGCTGTGGTATGGATATTAGGACACAGGAATGCTAGCCAAAGGAGGAAAATCAAAGACACGTACCAACAGCTTTACAATAAATCCCTCCTTGATGATCTCCACGCTGAACTTTCGGAGATTTCAGAGTAATTTTCTCCAATATTTTTTCGGTTTTAAAACTCGTATCTGTATTCATCCAATTGCAATTTTAAACCTTCATAAGAATGTTATGTCCTTATTGTTTATGTTGATGTTATTCCATCAGTTTATTCGTAACCATTCAAGTGATGATGTGTAACAGAATGCAGTACTTTTGTGGGCATATGATCCTCCCGAAAGGGACGCTAAGTTGGCGAGAGATGCACTGAGGACGAAGAAGAAAGGCGTAAAACACCTAAAAGTGTTGTTTGAGATAGCTTGTGCATCATCTCCTAACCACTTGATGGCCGTGAGACAGGTCTACAGTTCACTGTTTGATTGTTCGCTTGAGGAGGACATTGCCTCAACCGTTTCCCTACCCATCAGAAAGGTGAAAACATATTTTCCTACGTCAGGAATATCAGGTTCAAATACTTGGTAAAGTTTCGTTGTTATATTCCTCAGTGATTACTAACATCTTCGTCTGGAAATATTCTAAAAAAGGGTGAAGATTTTAAAGCAATTAAGCAGTACTTGTCTGAAATAATACAACAAAAAACAACCGAGCCTTATCTCACTAAATAGGGTTGATTGTATGAATCCTAGAACGCCACTGCGCTCGGTTTTGGGTCAAACCTTCAATTAGCTCCACTTGTCTGAAATGATAATACAAAAAAATTGCTAAGAAAAGGAAAATGTCATTTGTTTTCGTTCACAGAAAACAGAAAATTGTGGTTTCGGACTGGGTCTAGTGTTGCATTCTATTGACTCATACTGTTGGTTGGCACAGCTTCTCGTGGGTTTAGTGAGCTCGTACAGGTACGACAGGCAGCTGGTGGATACAGGCATTGCCAATTCAGAGGCATCTAGGTTACACGAAGCCATCGAAACAAAGCAATACGATCATGATCAAGTTGTTTGGATACTCAGCACAAGGAACATCTTTCAACTAAGAGCAACATTTGAGTGTTACAAACAGAAGTATGGACATTCCATTGACCAGGTATATATCACGTCTCCTTCTCTACTCTTCAGTAATCTGAAGACTCGCGATCTTCTAATCCCTTGTTTTTCCTTCGGAACTTTGCCAATTTCGTTGACAGGACATTAAGAGCTGCGGCAATGGTGATTTCGAATCCGTGTTGATTGCGGTGTATTGGTGCATAGCAGCACCTGCGAAATATTTTGCAGAGGTTAGTTCATTCCCTCCGCACCAAGTACTTATATCGAGTATGGTGTTTGGTTCTTTAAATTCCATTACTGATGAATTTTGTTCGGTCGGATTATAGAAAGTGTTGATATCCATTTTAACCTCCGTTGTACCGGAAAAGTTCTTAAACGACCTTTCGTTGTTGCTTGAACCACAACCAGGTCATCAAAGATTCCATTGTCGGACTTGGGACGGATGAAGATTCTCTGAATAGAGCCATTGTCACCCGAGCTGAGATCGACATGTTCAAAATCCGAGAGGAGTATTCAAAAATGTCGAAAACCAGCCTTGTCGATGATGTTATAGGCGACACATCAGGAGACTACAAAAACTTCTTGTTGACCTTGATTGGAGCAAGAGTCTAAATTCATTCTACCAAGAAGCTTAAGACCTCGATTGAGTTTATAATAAAAGTGTTATGCTTGTGTTAAGAATGCTGAAACTTGTCGCCTATTTTCGACTCCATCGATCCTTTGTAAGTCGCCTATTTTTTACTCTATCGACCGTTTGTAAGTAATTCGAAGATTGTTTCGCTTTCATTGTCAAAGGCAACTGCTTTGCATAAGTAACTGAGGCTTGTATGGAAGCATTTCAAGTGCTTTTTCAGAATTCACTTGCAATTTTACTAAAGATTGTACAGAAATCTAATATAAGAATTGAATGAGACAAAGCTATATTCCCTTCGTTTAGATGCCATCTAGAACACTACCTATTGCTTCAAAAATGATGGAGGCTAAACTTTCATCAGCGGTACTAATGACAGTGATTGTCTCTCTGACTTCTACAAGAGCTTGGTTTGGATGGTGGACATGTACTAGAGAAGCACTTTCTGATTCAGAACCACTTGGTGCTTCCCCAAGCGTCGCCTTGATGCCCCTGGTTGATAACACCATCAGAAGCTTTTCCAAACTGGGTGAACCCCAATGTACCAGCGGTCTACTCTCCGAGGACTCTAGATTTCCAGATAACAACCGTTGTCTGCCATGATCTACGAAGAACTCCCCGTTTAACCTTGTCATTTTCATATTGCCCTGCTTCAAATTCCTCCATTTGAATTGGGTAGCCAAGTCTGTTCCGATTTCTAATTCTGAATTGTCCTTCAAGCTTGGTATACACAACGTTTCATTAACGCGGTAGTGAAAGGTCGAGAAGGAATTTGTTATTGAAGAGCTATTCGGCTTCAAATCTTCAGGTAACTACTTGAGCAGAAAATAAACAGAGGAGGACTTATTAAGAGATGAAATCTCATACATCAAGAAAATGAAAATCTACAATGCATAAAGACATGCAAGTACCAGAACAACTTTTGGTTCCAATATCTTCAGCAACGCTTCAACTTTCTGCAACCTACAAAAAGCAGATACCCCGATATAAGTTTGTGTACCTTGTTTAACAAGTTGCTATAAGGGGTTTTTTTTTTTTTTTTCTTTCTTTCTTTCTTTCTTTCTTTTTTTTTTTATTTTTATTTTTTTTAATTTCTTTCTTTTTTTTTTATTTTTTTTTATTACAAGTTGCTATAAGGTTTTTTTTTTTTTTTTTCATTAAGAAATAAGATGTCAAGTTACAATATGAAATTATGTATCAATCAAGATTCGTGTCAGTTTCAAAAGGAAGAGAAACCCTACCTTATCCCAGAGAGGAAAGAGCATTGAAGAACCTTCATTTCCATTGGCTTGAAAGGTAAGAGAGCCAGCTCAACATCCGGTCCACTCTGCAAATCGGGCAGTGACAATTTAAGCATATAGTTGCATAAGGGGAAAATTCTTAACATTTATTTCCATTTTTATGAGAAATTCCTTAAAACAGTTTATGCACATTTGATATGACACTTCAATTGTTAGTGAAAATATATAGTAGCACCTCAAGAATGAGCAAGGAGTTCTGATCCCCACACCAGCGCCGGAGCAAATGAACAGCAGGACCAAGCCGCAGATTCCAGTGAGGAGAGAAAACTATGCATGGTTCCTGCCAATTCATCCTATCACAAATGTCAGTTTTTTAATTTCCAAAGGAGAGATCATAGAAAATATACTGATACCTTCCATTCCCTTTACCCTTTTAATCATGTCAAATTTCATACTAGGTGAGAGTAACAACGTTTGGACTATCTACAGCAGGTAGTTTCCCATGTTTGACTTACGGAGCAAAAAAGAAAAGAATAATCATATACTATACAATATTCCATATTAGTATTGAATGTGATAGCGAAGGAAGGAAAACAACTCCAATTTCATTTCAAAGTTTCTCCACCTATTTGAAGTGAAAGCTGGCTCAAAGAAATAAAAATTGATAAAATTAGCAAAGGCATTAATCTAACGTGATTTCATTTAAGAAGTCAAAATCCCTGGGGGACCAAGTAATTTCATTGAAGCTAAGGTAAATAAGTTCAGAATATTGGCTTCTCCATCAATGACCATGGAGAAATATTCTAAAAAAAAGAGAGACAAATGTGAAACTCACAATAATTTAGGTGAATGAACTGTCGGAAACACATGAAGCTTCTTCTCATTTATGAGCATCACATGTGCAAACAATGGCTCACCACAAAACAGCTGCAAGATTAGTTCAAAGAGTGACTGCAATGTCTTAAGTTGGCAATTCAAAAAACTAAATGAAAGCTCCAAGCACATTGCAAAGGTTAAAAAGCTCAACATTTACCTTTTCTTGCCGTTGTTTGCAAAGCCATTCGGGTACGATGCTGGTGAAAGCCAATAATTCTTCAGCTACAGAAGAAATAATATACATAGGAACCTGAGAGAGACAAACATTTCCATATATGAAACTTCTAATACTATCAATGTAGCATTTTGTCACATCTCAGTATGAAGTATTATGTCTCAGTATCATTGAAAGTATTCTTCATATCTCTATTTCACTTTTAAAGAACCCTGTTAATTATACATCTTTGACACAAAGCAATTAGTTAACTTTGATACTGCTGATAGTACTTAAAGCAGTAATGCAAGTCAGCAAAGTGTAAAGTCATCACTACTTTGCAATGGTTCCAGTTTATGATCACAGATATACAAAATACCCACCAGTATCAAACTCTTGAATCAAGAACTTGGGCAAGCAAAAATAATCAAGCAATAAATTGCAGAAACAATCAAGTCACATGTGTTGAAATTTAGTCTCCAAGTTTGTTTCTATTCACATAACTATCCATGTGATTGATGCATAGAATGACAGCAATACATGTACAAGAAGTAAAACAAAAACCATATGATGACACCCAATTTGCGTAGGAATAAGTTTTAGACAAGGAGTGTAGCTCCGAAACTAATGTCTTTTGAAAACTGAAGAGCTAACACACCGAATCTCAGTTTTTAATATATGTGGATTTGGCAAGGAAGCTTGTAAAAGACAAAAAAGTTACCTTCAAATTCAAAACATCTAATGAAGATGATATCTGTTCCAACAGCTGCAGAACAATCCCAAGTCGACTAATAGGAATAAGAACTGAGCCTCCAGCTTTTACAGAGTCAATTACACAGGAGCATATAAAAGTTAGCTTGTCCCTTTCCTCCAAACTGTCATCAATATTAAGTAAAGACATGGTTAACTCTTGACAATCACTTGCATTATCGAAGCCACTCTCAACATGTTCCGCAGCATCCAAGAATGAGAAATCTGAATATATCATCGTATCATTCCCTTGAAGAGCATGGTAATCAAAATTCATTGCATGAGCAGAATCAAAGATGGAACTTGAAATAAATCCAACGCTCCCCTTGGGACTCTTTATCGTCCAATTACAAGAGCCTATTTCTAATCCCGAACTGAATGCCTTTAATATCAATGTGCTGTTGTAGCAAGTTTCCTCTGCATATTTAACTCTTAGAAACTTCTGCATGCAGTCCTTCACATCAGCTGCACTGAGAAGAACTCTTCATTACATTCTTACACACAGAATCTTGCTACACAGAAATTCCAGATAATTTGAGGGGTTAACAGACAACCAAGTATATCAATATGAGGGGTAATGGTCTTGTCAGACTGTTAAATTAAAATTGTCAACTTGAACACATGATTCCAAAGAACAATAAACCACCTGATAAATGGTTCAGACCAAAGTCTAGTAACATAAAATGTCAAAATTGTCAGACAAGATAATATTTCCACAATCTACATCCTAAAAATATTTCATAAATTTAGTTGGGAAATCGTCAAAGAAATTAGCTTCTTCTCCATCACCTTCCAATAGAGATGCTGATGATTGTTTACAATTCCAGAACACAAAATTACAGCGAGGTTATATAGACTGACTTAAAACATGTATATGTACAACAGCACGGGTAGGCAGTTGGCATATTCAACCAAGAAAATTTAACTTTGAAACAATCAACATTAACCATTTGGATGCAGTATTAAGTACCTGTACAAGGGCATCCAACCACCCAGCTCACCCCCATCTTTGCCTAATACCAGCTGTCTCAACGAAGAAGGAAGAAGCTTAAGCACTTCCCACTTCATCCACTGAGGAAAAGATGACTCCTCAGGTCCAAACAACTGCCTGATTTCCATATGCATTGAAACAAGATCCTCCATCATAAGTTGCCCAAGTCTTGCTGTTGCTTCAGTCACATATATCTGACACATTTTAAGAAACAACAAAGCTAAGAAATCAGATCCAACTCCATGAAAATACTTACAAATTGAAGTTATAAACAAACTCCTTAAACACCAAAATGACAGTAGGAAATTAGATTATCTTATATTAAATTACATTATACCTTAGCAGAAAATCCCTTCATCTGAGTAATAAATGGTAATCCTAGCATACCCATCGGACTTGATATCAATACCGCATCAATAAAAGAGGCATTCCATAGGTGTAAGTTGCTGACAGTTTTGTACCAGGGAACTGCGCAAATCAAATCATCATCATCCAGGGACTTTTCAACTTTTTGTCTCTTCTGAAACAAGGGCTCCTCCAAATCTAACAAATCACTACAGTTTAGGGAATTGGGACTCTCTTTATCCAAGTGACTAGCTTTTGAACTAGATGGAATAGGGGAGAAGATTGTAAGAGCAGAAAGGTCCAATGGGCAATCCAATAAAATGGTAAAACCACATATATTCAGTATGTGGCAGGGTGGGAGATGGTAACCACCACCTTTGCTCAAACATGTCTGCACAAAGAAACATAAATACTAATACCCATAAATAATAATCCCAAGATTCAACCTTTAACATTTATATATGAAGAGTGCATAGGTATGTAAGTATTGAGAAAAAACTAACAAGCTTCATAGGCACCAAACAAGCAGTGGAGAGAGAGGATTTTGAGACAGAGCAAGTACCTGTAAAAAATTCAAACAAAACATTCTTAAACTACAAAACTCAACGAAGCAAGGAGGGTAAAATATCACATTCTTCAACCAATGACCTAAACATACTCAATTACAAAAATAAAAAGAAAGAGAGACCATTTGAATTAAAGCACGAAATTGGAAGCCTGGATGAAGCGGAGGGGAAGGATTCGCAGTGTGAAGCCAATGAAGGGGAAGGATTCGCGATTCAGTTGCAGTGTGAAGCAGTGGCGAAGCCAGGAATTATTGAGGGGAGGGGCGGAATTTAGAAGGATAAAAGATCCCAAAAAAAATTAGACAACCAAATCTTTTAAGACAATGAACAATATTAATTTGGTTCAATGCAAATTTAGACAACCAAATCCTTTTTATATACTCTGATCCACCATTACATACCAATAGACATTATCGATGAACTTATAATTTGGAAACCCATTTGATAGAGAATTCAGTAGCAACAGAAAATAGCTAGGACATCAGCTTCCTCTTAAATAAATAATCTTTCTTACCAAAAACAAATGGACTATCAAAATATCAACAAGTTGTAGCTGTCCCAATAACAAAAGGCTCCATTAATAACAAGTAGAGAAGTAAAACACGACACCCAAGATGATAGATATGGGCAAAGCCGGCAAAGCTCGATGGTACACTGACCAAAAAATAAGAGTGCACTCTGAGCCCCAAAATAATGGCAAGATAACAGGCATACATGGTCATAAGGTCATACATTGCAGCTCTGCGCACAAGAACACTGTAGAAAAAGATATCCCCTAGACCAAGTTTAATACCTTTGTACTGAACATTTTGCTACCTCCCCTCCATCTCTATTACCCTTACTTTCCTCGTTTGCTACCTCAACATCAACAATGGTATAATCAGAATTACCACCATTTCATTCTCATTCTGATTCACATTGCCCCTGGGGACTGATTCGTCAGATAATTCATTGAGGCATTAAATCAAACACATGGAGTGTGTATAAAGACTAGCAAAAAGCAGTACGAGAGACAGATGGAGGAAGACTATCAAACACCTGGACATAGGTGGAGGAAGACAATAAAACTCTGCCGGCGGCCCACTCCTAATTCCGTTGTTCAACGGCGAAGCATCAGACGACTAGGGTTTCAATATTAACCGATCAATCAAGCAATTGGGAATTCCCAAATGAACCCAAAAAAAAAAAATCAAATCTTTCAACCCGAAATCGTAAATGAAACACAAAATTCAAATACCCAAAAATCCCATTTGCGCAAAAAAGAATTGAATTGGAAAAGAACGAACCTTTGAGGAAGGATTTGGATATGCTGCTTTGAAGACTGAAGAGGAAGGATTTGAATATGCTGCTGTGAACTGTGAACACAGAGGAGTGAAGGGGAAGACTGAACTTTTACATTTAAGCACGAGGTGTCCTTTTTTTTTGTCCAAAAAAAAAAAAAGGTTAAAATATCATATTTTCAGTTTAGGTACTAATAGAAGAGTCAACCAAAATAATTCAATAAGTGCCACGTTAACTCAAAATAATTATATAATTGTCACTCAATTCTACCATGTTTTTTAACTCAAAATAATTATATAATTGTCACTCAATTCTATTACGTTTTCTGACCGGCAAAAATTTGCAGCGATTGGCCGATTGCCGATCAAATTTTCCGGTATCAAGGTCATTGTCCAACAGCTACTTCTAAAAAACATACTAGGTGATGAATTTTCTTCTATGGCTCTAACTTTACTGTGTAGCATATAAAACAACAATAACCTTACACAAAAAATATAATTAAAGATAATAAAGTTGCACCTATTACTATTTTTTATGTAACAATGACATGACATTTTCCAGTGACTTGAACAAAATTCTGGCATCAATGACGGTCCAACACTGGAGCCAGTGGTCTGGTCTGTGAGTTATGTGTAATGGAGGAAAAAATGTAAATATTTCTATGCTTAAAAATCTCCGGACTCACAAATAAAATGGTTTGAACCACAACAAGTGGTCCAGTGGTAAGGGTGCGGATTACGGCTCTTCAATAAACAAAAACATGTCAGAGGTCTCGGGCTCAATGCTCCGAGCTGATGAGTCTGTTTGGTGTAGCCACAAGTAAGGTGATAGCCTCTTCAAAACCGAAAGAGATGGATATTTATGACTTGCTACTAGTTAACCTCCTTTTTTTGTCGTATAAATTTCAAAATTAGACCAATCATGCTTTTTTCTTTCTTGTTTTTATTCTGTGATTGTACTGAACATGCTCGGGGTTTTTTCTTAGTCTCTTCTCGACTGCACATTAGGACTTACGGGTGGGTTTGCTTTCTTCTTTAACAAGAAGCTTGGTTTGATTCGTCAAGAAGACAAGTTTGGCTTAATACTTGCCGCAAAAGGCTTTATATTCTCTTTCTCCTTTGACAACATGAATTGCTAGCTTCAACTTTTAGTGCGTAGGTGATATTTGATGAAATTCAGTCTGGACTCTCCACTATAAACTTCAAGCCAATATACATTGTTCCAAATACAACTGCATCAGATAAGGACTGAAACTGAATCAAAATGCATACATGAGGACACATAAATTAACAACTCCATCAAAGTGCACGAACAAGAGGACGGTTTGACTGCGCACTTCTTGCAGCATCCTTCAAAAACTTGAGTTTTGTTTTTTTGAGTGTGGCTACTGCTTCTTGCATGTTTATTCTCTCGCCTGGTAGCTCTGCACAGCAAGCAAGAGCTAATCGCATAATGGACGATAAGCAATCTATCTTCGTCACAAAATCAGGGTCTTCCTCTTGTGTTACAAATAAACTGGCATCCACAACTTCAGCTATTGCTTCTGATGATAGTGAATTTGCAACCCATTGCTTTAGATTCATTTCCTCAACAAACATTTCATTCGTAGGCTTCATTTTTGTGAATGTTTCCATGACTACAATACCAAAACTGTACACATCCCCTTGCGTCGAAACAATTCCATCCATCCCGTACTCTGCAATATTAATATACCAAAGAAAGTTAGAAGTTCAGTTCTTCATGATTATAAAATTGAAAGATCATAAACTACAAGTAGATCACCTGGAGCCATATACCCAACTGTGGCTAGGGTCATGGTTTGGGTCATGGAATCCCCGAAACCCAAGAGTTTTGAAATGCCAAAATCCGCAACATGTGCAACCATCTCATCATCCAGTAGGATATTGCTTGGCTTCAAATCACAATGGACAATTGGCACTGAATAACCATGGTGGAGATATTCCAATGCCAATGCAACATCTACCATTATATTCAACCTATTTAGGATATCAAAAGAAGAGTTACGAGAATACAACCACTTCTCAAGGCTACCATTAGGCATATAGTTCAGTACCAAGGCTTTGAAATCCAATTGGCTGCAACAGCTAATGATTTTGATAAGATTTCGGTGCCGAATATTACTCAGCGTTTCACATTCCCTCTCAAAACTCTTGAAAGCCCCTTCTAGCTGCAAATCGAAAATCTTTACTGCAACATCTATCCCATCTGAGAGTGTCCCTTTATATACTGAGCCAAAACCCCCACTTCCAAGTAAGTTGCTGTCGTTAAATCCATTTGTCGCCCTTAGAAGTTCCAGGCGTGAAACTCTTCTCCAAAGAGATTGTGGTAACACGGTAGCCTCTGTTGCAACTTCAATTTTCCTTTTCCTGTGCAGTATAAATATCGACACAATGGCTACTAGGAATATTGCTGCTATGATTATTGCTGGAATAATATATTTCAAGTTGGATGAACTAGCTTTCCTTGAATTTGGTTGAAGTGTATTGTTTTTGCATGGTGGGACGTGGAGTCGAGCTGCACCACACAACGCCTTATTCGAGACAAATGATAGAGCGGAGAAGTTTTTGAAAGGTCCGCCTTCTGGAATTTCCCCTTGGAGTTGGTTGAAAGAAAAATTCAGGTACTTCAGATTCAAGAGTGCTTCTAGCGACTTTGGAATTGCTTCAGACAAACTGTTCTTGGATAAATCCAACCGTATCAGGCCTTTCAATTTGCCGAATGAACTGGGAATAGGGCCTTCACAATTATTATCTGCCAAGGAGAGACTAGTTAAATCTAGAAGATCCCCAACGCTGCTTGGTATAACACCAAATAAATTGTTGCTTGATAGATCCATGTATGACACAACCTTCAACTTGCCGATATCTTGTGACAGAGATCCATTTAGAAGATTTAATGACAAGTTAAAGAACCAGACTTGTCCAAGTTCCCACAATGTAGATGGCAGTGTAGAAGTTAACGAATTGGACGCTAATGATAGAATTCTAAGATTTGCAGATAGATTACCTAAGCAAGAAGGTATAAAACCAGACAGTTGATTCTGACTCAAATATAATACAGCTAGTTTGTTTAGTTGACAAAGGTCATCGGGAATATATCCTTGCAACTTGTTATCAACCAAATACAAACCTTGGAGACTCCCTAGTCTTCCAATAGAAGTTGGAATTAACCCGCTCAATTGATTGGATGCCAGGTTTAAGGATATCAGGCTGCTCAAGTTGCCAATTTCAATGGGAATGCTACCCTTCAAATTGCAATGGTCTAAAGTAAGTTGCTCTAACGATGTAGAGAGATTCCAAGAAGAAATAGGAAGATGAGTGTTTAACGGATTACGTCCCAGGATGAATGCCCTAAGATTTCTAAGATTACCGAAACAAGAAAGGATGTTTACTTCTGGAGTTGAAGTGTCCACCGTTAAATTATTTCGGTATAAGCTAAGAACCTCAAGGTTTGTTAAGGCACATAACTTGTTAGGAATAAACCCGGAAAATGAGTTGTCGGACAGGCTTAAATGAATGAGCTTGGAACCATTGGAGCTAAAGTTGGGAATTGCTCCGTTGAGTTTATTCAGTGCTAAATATATACTTTGCAGGTTCGGAACTCCAAGGCCTATGTCTGCTGGGAGGCTACCTGAGAGTTGATTACCAACAAGTGAAAGTACTGTCATCTTTGACATATTGAAGATTGTGGATGGAATGGGGCCGTTGAGATTGCTAAAATCGAGTGACAAATACTGTAGACTTTGAAGATTGCCAACTTCATATGGTATAGTACCTGCCACAATTAGTATTAGCATGTAAGTTCAATTATTTTGCCTTAGCATTCCTAAAATAGTATTAACTCCATAGTTTCACTGGATCATTATAAAGAAAACAAAAATACGACAAGGAACTGGGCATACGTAGAGAAGATGGGGGAATACCCTCTGTATATATTTAGGAATTATGAAATCTACTGAGTATTTTATATGCTCACTTTCTGATTTGATTCAATAAAAAAAAGCCACATATTCCACATATTTTTTTTTTAACAAAGATATTATCTAAACTAAGGGGCTAGGCTTAAGTTGCTATTCCTTGCTTTTAAAACTAAAGAAAAAATAAATAACATATTTTTTTACTAGTGAGTGCTCTATAGGAAAGAGATCCTCTCCGGATCCCTTCCACCCCACTTTAAAAGTTATAATAACTTTAGCCGTTGAATCAAATTTCAAAAATCCGAATTGTTTGATGAGGAGGATTAGGTGTATACTCACTTTATGATTTGGTTCAATAAAAAATGCCATATATTCCATACTTTATAAAGCTAAAGAACAATTAAATAACCTTTTTTTTTAACATAAAACATGTAGTAAAATATTAATGAACAAGAAAAAAGTAATTACTCACTAGTGATCTCTCCAAATACTATCCGTTTGACATTAGTTAGGTGAGCTAGACTTATAATTGAGTAATTAAATTACTTGATATTTATTTTTTAAATGGAGTATTAATTATTGTATTCGAGTATTTCGAACCATTCATGATTGAAAATAGCACCCCACCTTTATCATTTGAAAAAAATGTGACCAAAAAAAAAGAAAAAATTAATCATGATTGGAACAAAGAAATAAGTTACTCTAATTTACGTAAGATAAATGGACTTGGCAATTAAGTACCCGTTAAGGTGTTGTTGCTAAAACCAAGCCGTGTTAACTGGGTCAAGTTTCCAATACTTCTTGGTATGCTTCCACTGAAATTATTATAGTCCAATACCAAACTAAGGAGCTCTTTGCACTGCCATAACTTGTGTGGAAGTGGACCATCAAACTCGTTGTAAGCCAAATTTAACACCTGGATACTTGGAAGATGTTGGCATATATTGTCTGGAAAACTACCACTTAAGTTGTTTCTGTTTAGAGCCAAAATTGTCAAAGAGGACATGTTGAAGACAGTCAAGGGAATAGGGCCTTTTAGGGCATTAGCCTGCACAAACAACCACTCCACCTCATCTTTACTGCCAATCAAGTTTGGAATTTCTGAAGAAAAAAAAAATCACGTATAGGTTTTCTATATAATATTAAATATCAGATATAATAATGTGAAAAATGTTGGGAAAGTCACATTTGTGCATACCACAGTATGTTAATTACCTTTGTGAAACCTACTAGTATTAATCAGTGCGCCCTCTTTCTATGAGAAACGTGGTACAATGTGCATTGTGTACAAAAATGCGATTTTGCCAGCATTAATCTAATAATACTTAAAAATGACAAAGCTGAGTCTTTCCTACCTTCGAACATGTTAAAATCAAGGTATATCCTCTTGAGCATGGTTAAGTTCCCAATTTCTCTTGCTATGCTACCTGTTACTTAAGTAAAATAAGTAGACCCCCGTAGTCAAAAAATGAACCAACAGAGTATGTTATATAATCATGGCAACAAGCTGATTGAGTCATACCTTTGAAATTGTTATTTCCAAGTAATATCTCTTGCAACACTGTTAACCTCTCGATTTCTCTTGGTATGGTACCTATCAAAGTATAGGGTTTGCAATATGTATTGGCCGCAGAAATGGAATAAGGAAACAAGTAAAAAACTAGCATATAAATAACATGGTATGGAACCTGATAGCTTGTATGGTAATTGGTATACGAACGTACCGGATAGCTGGTTGCTTCTTAGATTAAGTACTTGAAGTGCAGATAAGTTGAAGATGGCGTTTGGTATGGAACCCGAAAATTGATTACCGTACAAATTGAAGGTTTGAAGTTTAGATAACAAGCCGAACCATGATGGAATGGTTCCTTCAAAGTCATTGAATTCAAAGCTAATCAACTTCAGCCTGCGTAGATTAGACAATTCCGGGGGCAAGGTACCACCAAAACTGTTGTTTCTAAATTCCAATTGAACAAGAAATGAGAGGTTGCCTAGGTGGGGAGGGATGGTGCCAGTGAGACCCATGTAGGAGAGATTCAAGGTTGTCACTCTAAGGTGGCGTGCGCCGCAAGTAACGCCAACCCAGTTGCAAATGTCGGAATTGGAGGTAGACCAGTTGGTGGTCAAGATGTTTTGAGGATCAATGGTGATATGGGATTTGAGGGCAAGAAGAGCAAACTGATCTGTGCTGATGTTGGTTTGTGCTGCTACGGAACCCGTTATTAAGATAGGTATGTATACACAACAGTATTGGAATAGCAGCAACAACAAAGTTGTCGACAAGAGGAAACGAGTTCTCGCCATTGTTGTATGTGCTGAGTTCCAAGAAGTTAGAAGAAATGGGATCTCAAAGGTAGTCTTTTTAACTTTGAAAACTTTGAAATTATTATTGATTGAGTGCCAAAAGGAAAATAAATTATTGACTAATTAAACATTTAAAAAATAAAAAATCCTTTTTTTTAATGGGATCCATATCTTGTCGAATAAATCTGTGGAAACACTTAAATCAACCACATGCATCATCAACTTAGATATCTTTTTTAATATTATTATATTTGAGTCCCAATAAGATCTTGAGTTTGGGTATTTTGATTTTTCTTCTCTAATGCAAAAGTTTATATTCTTAGATCTATATTTTTATATTTTGAGTTTTAAGATTTAAATGTTTGTATTGGAGAGAAAAAAAATATTGGATTGAGTTTTGACAATTTAAATATGTGCATTAAAGATGGTTAAATTCAAAACTCAAACCTCGTATTGAAATCTAAATTTGAATCTCACTTTGAGCAGAAACTCAAAATACTTCTAAGTCTTAGGTGCATTAGAGATCATTTTACTCATGTTTGGACTTAAATATAAAATATGAATCATAACTTTCTGGTGCATTGGAGATGCTCACATTCATAGTAATAGAATCCCAAGACCAAAGAATTTTTTACTTAACTCTATACCACATAGAATTATGACGCCTTGTATTTTATTATTATTATTATTATTATTATTATTATTATTATTATTATTATTATTATTATTATGATATAATGATATATTTACGATTAGGGGTGATGAAACCTAATACATTTCAATTACAATAAAGATAAATACTACTGAAGTATTTAGTAACTATGACACCTTATATTTACTTGTGAAATATTACTATACATAGGTGTCTCTAATTCATTGTCCTAATTATATCTATATATATATATATATATATATATATAGAAAATGATATATGATAAAAACTTAAGAAACCATCTACTAGTTTAGTGCATCCTTCACCTTCTAATGGTCGAGCAAATTATATGTACAGTGATTCAACTGTAATAATGCTTCACGTTGTTGCAAGTCCAAATCAAAATGAATACCAATAATTGTGAAATAATTCTGCGCTGATGTTGATTTGTGCTGCGGAACCCGTTATTAAGACACTACAAGAAAAGTGGGCTAAGAACACAATTGATTTGTGTCCTTTTCAATTTCATTGAGCACAAATACATATCTGTGCGTTTTGAGTATCATTGAACACAAAACTATTTTATATGTGCTCTCTAAGCAAAAGGAACACTAGTGTGTGCCGAAAATGAAGTGTATTTGTGCCTACTTGCTGTGTCACCTTTAAATGTCAGAAATGAGATTTGTTTATTAATTTACGAAAGCACAATAAGAGTTTTCGTGCTCTCCGATGTAATATATTTAAATTAAAAGTAGGTTTTCGTGTCCATTGCTTTTACTTTTTCCCATTTTCAGTTCCTTTACATTAGTTCACGCCTTTCCTTTCTCCCCCCTCTCTTAATTAAACTCTACTCCTTGTCCTCCTCAACAGTCTTCCATTCTTCTTCCCTCCCCCTCTCCCTCCTCTTTCACGCAACAAAGCCGCTCTCCACCCATTTCCAACGACCGTCTAATTATACCTCTAGAATCCTCATGTCGTCCTCTTTCCAACTCCCAAATTTGTTTCTCCAAATTCTTAGCCAAATTTCCTCAATTTCACATCTAAGCAACGGTGATCGTGGGCTTTCCTGCCAATTTCCGGCAAAGGCTGCCGGAATTGGACCTCGATGCAAGAGGTAAAAATGATCTCTTTTTCCTCTTCTTTCTTTCTCATCTCTCTTTCCCTCTCTCTCATCTATCCTTCTCCCTACTTTCATCTTCTGCTCTGCCTCCCTCAAACTCTCTTTCTCTCGCCTCTATCTCTGTCTCCGACTCCCTTTCTCTCTCTACCTTCCTAGATTCAGTCCATCTCTTTTCCTTTTCCCGATCTGGTGGTTTTTGATGAACCAATCCAAGGCATAACTCCCAGATTCGGTCTCTCTCTAATTCTCTCTTGTTTGATTTGATTTTCAAAAAATATATAGATCTGTTTGATTTTCTTTCCTACTATTGTCTTCTTCAAGCTACATTGATCTGGATTTGATGAAGGAGAATCTTCGAGTCAGAAAGATGTGGGCAAGCAAAAAGGAGGGTCGTCGAAGGCCGCCCTAGAAACCACCATTGCCATCTTCACCATCGAGGTAAATTTTCCTTCTTCCCAAACTTTCCCTTCAATTTTCTTTCACTTTCTCAGTAACCAAACAGACAATTCAATCCATAAAGTTTGTATCTTTGACATTATTTGTGTTTTCAAATCGTTAACAGTAGCTGCTTTATTACAAACACTCGCCGAGGACTTGCAGGAATTTCATCGGGCTCGCTTGCAGAGGATATTACGACAATGTAATTTCACAGAATCATCCAGGTTTCATATTTTCTGCTTTTGTAGTGTGTATAAATATTAGATATATATATATATATATATATATTTTACTGACGGTTAAATTGGAATTGGCGTAGGATTTCATAGGGCAAGGTGGTGATCCCCCCGGGGCAGGAAAGGGTGGCGAATCCATTTATGGGTAAAAAAAAAAACTCCCTTGAATTTACCCATAAAACAAGAGTTGAAGAACTTGTTTTGTATAATGAGTTTAAGGGAAAAGTTAAGAGGACGAGATAAAACAAGAGTTGAAGCATATTGGAGCTGGCATCTTATCGATGGCGAATGCTGGTCCGAATACAAATGGAAGTGTGAACACGAAACTGAAATTTCGATGTCTACAGGAAGCCAGTTCTTTTTCATGTTGGCACCGTGCCCATCATTGGATGGTATGCTAATTTTTACCCAGTAATGTTAAAAGACTGTTTTTTACTACTATATGTGCAGTATCTAATTTTTTGTTTTACTTAATCTGCATAAAAGTGATTAAAAAGCAGTAAGCGTTTTTGCCTTAAGATGGTATGTGTATCTTGCGTACAATGTGGTTTGGTGGACTTGTGACCTGTTGACTTTAGAAGTTATTTGCATGAGACATCAGTTCATCGCTCTGTGACCTATTAAAATATCTGGAGACTGAAAAATAGTTCTTGCTATAATACCATTTCTTTGTGATTTTGCTATGAGGATTTTATGATTTGACATGCACACGCAATCTGAATATAGTTATGAGCTGTATTTGTGTACGGGAATCTTTAGGCTTTAGTTGACTTTCAGGTGATTGTAATAATCTACACCATCACCATTAGGATTCTATTTAAGCTATAAAGTGACTAAAGTAAAACTCCTACCCGTTTCTTGATTTCGCGTTCTTATGAAAGATTTTGACTATGTATGTTGAACACAAGGTTGTGAAGGTATAAAACCAGCTCCCTGCACTGAATAATTAAAAAAAAACCTCATTGTATTTCAATTTTGTGACTCACGTGATTCCTCCCAAACTTGATTATCTGTATGCCCTGAATTTTCATGTGCCTTACTAATTGATTGTGATTTAGGAGTACAAATTTGTAGTAGATTTAGAAGTGGTAAATCGCAGTTTAGCAGAGGCATTTGTAGATTCAAATATCAATGTTTGTTCATTAGTTCCCCTAAACATCACACATTTTGCTTCTTGTTTTCTAGTTTGCTCAACTTTGTTCAGAAAGACATGGCCCTTGCCTTAATCCATTTGATGAAAATTTTGCTTCTGTTATTACAGAAGTTTTTTCAATTTATTATTTTTTTATGACTTGTTATTTGTATATAATGTTTGATTTTGGATTATACATATTTTTACAGGATTGACGGGAATATATTGTGTTGTAGAGGTGTACTTTACCTTCGTGCTATTTCTCATCTTTGCAAGTGGTTAATGTACCATACATTAATAAGTTTGGTTTTTATTTGCTTGAAATATATACAACATTATTGGAGGTCCTATTAATGTTTTGCTCTTATTATGTATAAAATAACTATTTTTTTATTTTTTATGAAACTTATATTTACTAAATTTCTTTCTTTTCCAGGAAGAGGATGAACTTCCTTCTACAATTATGGTTCACAGTGTCGATATGGATTTGCTTCCTTGTCTTGTTAAGGTACATTGGACATTTAGTTGTAACAATATTAAAATGTTCTCTTTTTTGTCGGAGAAAATGAAACTCTTATTGTTATCATATATGTGTAGAGCTAATTAATTCTCAATGTTGATTGGATGTCTGGGTAACATCACTGGAAATATGTGATCCTTTCCCTTTTTCATTTTTCCTTTGGTTTGGATTTCAGGAAGGTGATTGCATAATCCACCGAGCTGGGAAAAAGGGTAAAATCAATTATGGGTGGCTATATGTAGGAATGCATGGATACATTGATAGGAAAATCTCATTATTTTGTTGGTCTTTTATCTTGAACACTTGTAAACATGTTATTTATGAGGAATATTTATGTAGTTTCATTATAGACATTCCATTTCTACTATTGGATTGCTTTTTACAGTCGAGACTGCCATCTTTGATTTTATGAAAATTTTAAATTTTTGGTTTTATTTCAAAATTTTGCATTTCTATTTTTTTTTTTTTAATAGAACCTACTGGGCACAATAACAAAATAGTGCAAACGTGGATGGAGAAGGTCATCTGACAAGTTGTCAGAACAAGGACACAAAAAGGCCTTTATTTGTGCCTGCTTCTTTGAGCACCAAACAGTCTATTGTGCCCTTTTAGCAATGGTGACGCCCATAGAGGGCACGGACACAAAGATGGTAGCTGCAGTGTTGCTATTGGTCTATGAGCACAATTGTTGGTGCTTTTTGACCTCAAAGAGCACAGATAATTTATTGTGTGCAGTGCTCATTTTTTTTGTAGTGAGAAAGGTATGTATATACAGCAGTATTGGAATAGCAGCATAGTTATCAACGAAAGGAGAAGCGATTTGTTGCCATTATTGTATGTGCTGAGTTCCAAGAAGTCAGAAGCAATGGAACTCAAAGGTAGTCTTTTTAACTTTGAAACGTTGAAATTATATATTGATTAAGACTGCCAAAATAT